CCATCACCCACATTAACATGAGTCTACCCTCCAGCCTGTGAATAATTCTCCCTTCTCTCCCACCCCTGGTAACCATCATAGAATTTTTTTTTTTAGCATGAAAACCTTTTCTTGACTTTTTACAATAGTGGGCTTGTACAATATTTGTCCTGAACCATTTCACTCAGCATAACATCCTTCAGGTTCATTCATGTTATGAGGTATTTCACAGATTCATAGTTGCTCTTCAACATTGCATAGCATTCCATTGTGTGTATCTACCAACATTTGTTTAGCCATTCTTCTGTTGACGGGTGTTTAGGTTACCTCTTCATTTACCCTTTTGGATTAATTCCTCTGGGCCAAAGTGCACAGAAAGGGAGACCAGAGCCCTTACTTTGGTTATGAAGATGTGATTTTAATTAGATAGGAAGAATGGAACAATGTTTTAGTTGTCCGATCCCTAAGAAGGAAGGCACGCTCACATGAGTCTAGTATGATTTTTCTTATAACCACCACCTTCTCGTGGGAGAAAGGAGTCTGTGAGAGGAACAGATGATTAAGTGCTCAGTAACTTATGGAAAGATACGGGTTTGAGGTCTAACCAGAGGTGCCTCAGAGTGTTAGCAATCTACTTCTGAAACATCAACCTTTGAAAACTCTACGGAGCACAATTGTTGGGTCCAAGTTGGGTCCGACTCATAGAGACCTTATGCACAAATGAACGAAACACTGCCCAGTCCTGAGCCATCCTCACAATCTTTATTAAGCACAAGCCTATTGCTGCTTCCACCATGGCTTGGGTCAGGCACACCTTAGTCCTCAAACTGACATCTTTGCTCTTGAGCACTTTAAAGGGATCTTGTGCAGCTGATTTGCTTAATGCAATACTTCATTTGATTTCTTGACTGCTGCTTCCCTGAGTGTTGATAGTAGATCCAAGCAAAATGAAGTCTTTGACAATTTCCATCTTTATTCCATGTATCATGAGATATCCAGTTACCAAGGGCAGTTGGTAACTGTAGTGTAAGAAAAGGTGTTTGTTTTCTGGGGGCTCCAGTGAACACAGGCAGAGAGAGTGTTAGCAGGCCAAACGCAGACTCCAGACTACCTCATGCTTCCTTTCAGTTTCTCTACAGACACGACTTTGTGAAGGAGCGGGGGCGGCTCATTGGACCCCGCAGTGTGAGTGATGACCCCCGGCTCCAGCACTGCCAGCGGATGGGTCAGCTGCAGAGTGAGCTTCAGTACCGGAGGAAGGCAGCTGGCACTCAAGCCCAGTGCCACCTGCCCATGGATATGGTGAACCTGGTCCATGCCAGGAAGGCCCAGGCCCTGGCCAGCGACTGTGACTACAGGACACACTGCCACACGTTCACGGCGCTGCCCGAGGACCTGAAAATGGCCTGGGCCAAGAAAGCCCACGCCCTGCAGAGTGAGGTAGGGCCTTCCTCCCGCCAGCCAGCCTGGTGTAGGCCTCTGCCCTGCCCATTAGCTGCTTTGACGCTCCAGGCTACTACTTGCTAGGTCTATAGAAAGCTTGTGGGAAAATGGAATGGAAAGATAATGGCAGTTTTCACAAGCACTTTGAAAATTTGTCATTCCACAAATATTTATGCAGCCAGGCTGGGTGCCAGGCACTGTTCTAGGCAAAAGACTCACAAAGCTTGTGCTCGTGGAGTCCTAGTCTAACTGCCCGTCAGAAAGACAACTACAACAGTGACCCTCAGAGACTTCTGACTCTGACCTGGGCCTTCAGGGCACCCTGGGTAAGTGATAGGGAACAGAGGTGGCAGTCTGCTTTCGTAACGATTTATAGCCTTGGACACCTTATGAGTTTCTGAGAGGAGAGCTATCCCATCGGGTTTGGAATCAACTCAATAGCAACAGCTTTGGGCTTTGAGTCACTCTGAGTCAGTCACTAGTTTGAATATGCTGCCTGAGTTTGCTGTGGTTGTTGGTAGGTGCCATTGAGTTGGTACCAACTCATAGCGACCCTATGCACAACAGAAAGAACACTGCCCGATCCTGGGCCAACCTCACAATTGTTGCCACGCTTGAGCCCATCGATGCTGCCACTTTGCCAATCCATCTCTCTGGGGGTCTTCCTCTTTTTCTCTGACCAGCTACCTTAGTAGACATTATATCCTTCTCCAGCAACTGGCGCCTCCTGACAATATGTCCAAAGTATGAGAGACGAAGTTTGGCCATCTTGGCTTCTAAGGAGCACTCCGGCTGCACTTCTTCCAATACACATCTTGTTGGTTCTTTTGGAAGCCCATGGTACTTTCAATATTCTCCTCCAACACCATAACTCAAAAGCATCAATTCTCCTATGGTCTTCCTTATTCACTGTCCAGCTTTCACATGCATATGAGGTTATTGAAAATACCATGGCTTGGGTCAGGTGCACCTTAGTCCTCAAACTAACATTTTTGCTCTTTGACACCTTAAAAAGGTCTTGTGCAGCAGATTTGCCTAATGCAATACGTCATTTGATTTCTTGACTGTTGCTTCCGTGAGTGTTGATAGTTGATTCAAGATGAATGAAGTCCTTGACAACTTCAATCTTTTCTCCATTGATAAGAATGTTGTTTATTGGTCCAGTGGTGAGGATTTTTGTTTTCTTTACATTGAGATGCAATCCAAACTGAAGGCTGTGCTTTTTGATCTTCATCAGTAAATATTTTAAGTCCTCTTCACTTTCAGCTAGCAAAGTTGTATCATCTGCATAGCCCAGGTTGTTAATCAGTCTTCCTGATGCCACGTTTTTCTTCATATAACCCAGCTTCTCTGATTATTTGCTCAGCCTGGGTTTATCTGACTTAATATCTAGGTAGGAGTCCTGGTGTGGCACTATAGGATAAGCACTTGATTGTTAGACCAGTTTGAACTGCAAGGTCCGCAATTCAAATTCTCCTTGGAATCCTTTTATCAGATTGCTGTGAGTCAGAATTGACCTGAGGGCAGTTAACAACAAAAACAAGTAGTATTACTCCCATTTTTGCAGATGCAGCAACTCAGATACCAATAACCTAAGTAATGTGTCCAAGGTCACACAACAGGCAGAACAATGACCTGCCCCAAACCATACCTACAGTACCAGGCAGAGGACTTTTTTATCGTTGATCAGACGACTGTTTCCGTGCTCTTTGGCTCCCCCTGGTGGCTAGAATATGAACCTCAATGCATGGAGACTTCTGTTTCCACTTATCTACTACCCGGCGTAAGGAGCTCTGGTAGCGTAGTGGTTACGAATTGGGCTGCGAACCTTAAGGTCAGAGGTTCGAAACTACCAGCCGCTCCGCGGGAGAAGGATGAGGTGATCTGCTCCTGTGAAGATTTACAGCCTCGGAAACCCTGTTCAGGGTTCCTATCAAGGTCGAAATTTACTGAAAAAGATAATGGGTCTAAAGCCAACCATACCCTATACTAAGTAGGATTGTATGATTATTTTTAATATGACAATGATATCCTTATACCTCCCCTCCCCCTCCACTTCCTGGCTGCGTCATTCTTGGATGAGAACTCTGGCTCAATACAGCCACACCTGCATTTGCCACTACAGTGCTCCAAAGTGGGGTGCCAATATGTGCTCCAGATCAGGTTGGTTTGGTAGGGAATACAGGGAGGCTGCCATTTGGGGAAATAGTTTCAACTGGCCAGCACTGTGTTCTCTGATCACAGAATCCTTCTTGGAAGCCATCTTTAGGAAGCTGATTCTTCTCTCGTCGCCCCTCCTCTCTTCCCTCTTTTATTGTGAAGTCTGGGGCTGGCGTGTTGTTTTTGGAGTCTGCGTGAATAGTCAAAGCAGGCTGGGAGCTTCAATATCAATAGCTGATCCATTTATAAGAGAGTCGGAGGCGCAGCCAGATCTTTGGGGAACCTGCATCTTGCTTTCTGACTTACCCGCGATCCCACTGTTCAGCTCAACAAAAGGCGAGTTGAAAGAGCGCTCCCCACTTCATCTCGTTTATGAAAGGAGCAAGGCCCGGCTGTGAAGAAGCCCTGTAGGATTATTCTCTGTAACTTAGAAATTTATCCAATTTTCTCTGTTCTTTATCAGAGTGGAAGGCAAAAGCGTTGACGGTGTAGACTGAAAGATCGAGGTTTAAAAAGCAATCTTACTGACATGGGGTTTTGAAACCTGGTCTTGCTCCTGAGTGATGTCTCCTTTGCCCAGTTGGATAGCAGAGTGGAATTTGCAGAGGGACATTAAGCAGCAGACAGTAGATCAGACACGGACCCTCTTTGAGGCCAACTGTGAGCAACACTGTGAATCCTGAAATGAAAGAAAACTAAAAAGGCCTAGAGGCCGATTTCTGGAGTGCTATTTTGCGTTGCAGGAGAACTTATCTCTAAATTAGAGAGATGCCATCAGCTTCATTTAAATCCAAACTTGAGGTTTCCTTAGAGAGGGTTTTTGTTTTTGTTTTTTTTCCCCCACCCTTAAAAATAGTTAGGTTCCATCAAGAGAAGAAAAGCATTCAGGAGATTGCTCTCATGTGGTAATGGTGGGTAGACCAAGGAGGAATAATGAGATTTCATGTTGTTGTTGTTAACTGCCGTTGAGTCGATTCTGACCCATAGCGACCCTGTACAGGGGGTCCGAGGAGCAACTGGTGAGCTTGAATAACCAACCTTGCAGTTCAAACGGCTTTGCAGTCTGATGCATTAACGCACAGCGCCACACCAGGACTCCAAGACTCCTAATCAGACCTGCTGTCTTTCCTAGGATGGCAGTTCAACCTTAGCACCCATCTTCTGGGCCCTTCCAGTCAAGAATGAGGGTAAGGCTGAGCCCACTTTTACAATATGAGGCTAAGCAAATCATAATGAGCTGCAGTAGCAGGAGGATGTAAACTGAGGCACGGGAGGATTTGAAATGGTGTAGAAGGAGCTCTGGTAGCGTAGCGGTTACGAATCGGGCTGCGAACCTTAAGGTCAGCGGTTCGAAACTACCAGCCGCTCCGCGGGAGAAAGATGAGGCTTTCTACTCCCGTAAGGATTTACACCCTCGGAAACCCTGTACAGGGTCGCTATGAGTCGGAACTGACTCGACGGCACTCAACAACAACAACAACATGCACAATTAGCCAGTTGTAACCAAATGTGTTCCAGTGTTTACAGACCTGTTGGAATTGATGCCATATCCTGGTATAAGGATTAGGAGCTCTGGTGGCGTAGTGGTTATGAGTTGGGCTGCTGGCCTAAGGTCAGCAGTTTGAAACTACCAACCGTTCCACAGGATAAAGATGAGGGAGGCTTTCTGCTCTTGTAAAGATTCACAGCCTTGAAACCCAGTGCAGGGTCGCTGTGAGTCAGAACCGACTTCACGGCATATAATCACCACCAATCCTGGTATAGTGCTCTAGGATAAGCACTGGGCTACTAACTTCAAAGTCAATGGTTCAAACCCACCAGTTGTTGTTGTTAAGTGCTGTCAAGTCGGTTCCAACCCAAAGCCACCCTGTACAGGGTTTCTGAGGCTGTAAATCTTTACGGGAGCAGAATGCTTCATCTTTCTCCCACGGAACAGCTGGTAGTTTCGAACTGTTGGCCTTAAGGTTCGCAGCCCGATTCGTAACCACTACACTACCAGAGCTCCTTAAACCCACCAGTAGCTCCTCAGAAAACCTATATAGGGTCGGTATGAGTCAGAACCTACTTAATCACACTTAACAACAACCATTTCCCATTACCACACATGTACAGTGAAATTGATCGAGTGTCCCTTGCCCCCCAGCACCTTCAGGTGTTTTCATGAGAATGGAGGGGTTATAATTTCAGAGAATCCAAACCCACCGTCCCTGAGTCTGTTCGGACTCAGCAACTCTACAGGACAGAGCACAGCTGCTCCATAGGGGTTTGAAGCTGTCAATCTTTACAAAAGCAGACAGCCTCATCTTTCTCCCGCAGAATGGCTGCTGGGTTTGAACTGCTGACATTGGAGTTAGCGGTCCAATGTTTACCCCACTGCATAATCTCAGACAGGTTATAATCTCTGTGCATCATAAAGAGAAACTAAGTCACTGTCTAGTAAAGTGCTTTTTTTCAACTCGCAGCATGTTTGATCCAGAACTCAAAGGCCCCATTATCTACTGAGCAGTGGGTAGCAGACTTCTATTTAGGCAGGTGGTAAGCAATCCCATGGGTGCTGATACTCAGACATGTGCTCATCTCGTTGAATCCCATTTACCCACTAGCGGGGCCCTCTGGTATCTTGTACATGACCTGTTATTAGATTCCTGGCGGGATGCCCAAGCATAAGCAGTCTGACTTGGTCACATGTGGAATGTTCTCGGAATGAAGCTGTTTTGACGAAGCATCATTACTAATGCTTTTACAAAGCAGGGGCTTCTTGAAATGCCCTAATCAATAGTCTTAGGCATTTTCCTGTTAAAAGCCAGTGATCTTCCTTCTGCAGTTTCGCTACAGATCAGACCTGATGGGCATGAAGGGTGCAGGATGGCTGACGTCTAGCTCCCCACAGATGGAGAGTGCAAAGAAGGCTGGAGAACTCATCAGTGAGGTACCGTCCCTGCTTCCCCTCATGGAGCTGCCAAGAACAGCCAAGCATTGCTTCCTTTTGAAGAGGGAACCTGCTCATGGGGTGGCTCCCAAGAGGGTCCCATGGCCACTTGAACTGCCAGTGTGTTTCTGGGGCCTTTTGCAAACAAATCCCAAAGGAGATTTCCTTCCCAATGAAGTTGTTGCTGAGAAACTAAAGACAAGAGGCAAACTGGGCAGTGATAGAGGCTACTGCATTAGAAGGCACCCTGTAAATACATTGCATACAGTTATGATCTAAACTGGTGTATTGTTTTCATGGGTGTTGTTGTTGTTGTTGTGTGCCTGCAGTTGGTTTTGACTCATAGCGACCCTGTACAGGGTTTCCAAGGCTGTAAATCTTTACAGGAGCAGAAAGCCTCATCTTTCTCTCATGGAACAGCTGGTAGTTTCGAACTACTGACCTTGTGGTTCGCAGGCCGATTCGTAACCACTATACTACCAGAGCTCCTTTTCAGGAGAGTAGACACTTCCAAATGTTCCTTATCACAGAGGCAGCTGGAAACCTTAGCATACCCTCGATGGTATGTGCCCACCAAGAAGAGAGACTTGTTTTCTGATAACGTCACGGGCACTGCTGATCCTAGTAGGTTGGGAATGAAGCTGTGTCCAGACAAATGTGTGATACCTGGTGGTGTTTCTTATAGACCAAATACCGAAAGAAGCCAGACAGCATCAAGTTCACCAGCGTGGTAGACTCCCCAGACCTCGTGCATGCCAAGAACAGCTACAAACACTGCAACGAGGTGGGTTCCTTCCCCTCATCCATCTCAGGTGTGCAGTAGTGACTTTCAGTGGTCAGTGCTTCCGACCATGGGCTCAGGGCAGATGTGAGTGCCAACCCTGCCATTACTATCTACTACCTGAATAGTTTCAGGTCAGTTACTTACAGCTTTTTTTACATCAGTTTCCTCATTTCAAAAGCAAGAGAAATGACAGTAGTCATTTTATAAGATTTAAAGAATTCAAACAAACTAACAAACAATTCCAGTGTTGTCAAGTCTGCGGGGACTCAGTGACCCTATAGAACAGAGTAGAACTGGGCCAGAAGGTTCCCTAGGCTGCCGTCTTTACAGCAGCTGACTGTAGAGTGGCTGGTGGGTTCAAACCACCATTCAATTAACAGCCAAGTGCTTAACCACTGTGCCACCAGAGCTACTTAAATGAATTAATTAAATAAAAGCACGCAGAGCCTTTTGTAAGTGCCTGAAACAATAGATGTCCTTTACTATGGCATTGCTAATAATCATAACAATTGTTGTCATTAAGTGCCCTCTAGTAGGTTCAGGCTTACAGAGACAGCAGTGAGGTGTTTTTTTTTTTTTTCTTTCTGAGGAGTGGCTGGTGGGTTTGAACTATTGACCTTGAGGTTTTGTTGTTGTTGTTATGTGCCGTGGAGTCGGTTCCTACTCATAGTGACCCTGTACAGGGTTTCCGAGGCTGTCAATCTTTACGGGAGCAGAAAGCCTCATCTTTCTTCCACGGAACAGCTGGTAGTTTCGAACTGCTGGCCCTGAGGTTAGCAGCCCAATTCGTAACCCACTAAGCTACCAGAGCTCCTAGACCTTGAGGTTAGCAGTACTGAATATGATTGATGGTACCTTACCAAACACAAACTCAGATGCAATTTGCTTGTTGATCCATAGCAATAGAATTCAAAGCTTAACATTGCCGAGTTAGCAACAAGAAAGACTACTATTGTATCTTTCTGCTTTTACTCTGCATAATTCAGCCTTGTTTCCTGTCTCCTGTGTTTATTTTGAGGAACAGAGAGTTACATATTTCCCCCCCCTGATTTGTCAAGGATTTGAGCATTGCACACACAGCCACCATAGTGCCCTGTCCTCAGAGAGAGCTGGCATGTGTACTGACCAAGGCAAAGTCCTGGGTTGAACTTGGAAATGAATTGGAATTTTCAACATTGTATTTTCTATTCTAGAAATAGATGAGACTCAGACACTTCCTAAAACTTTTCATAATTCTAAAATCACCACTCTAACTACAGCAAGTAACAGCAAGTTTGAGATGTACAGTTATGTCTTCCTGGGACCCAGCTGGCTGTGAAAACCTTTATTTTCTGAACACATAGCAACGTTTGTTAGATTAGCACAGGACCAGGCGGTGTTAAAGTTCTGTTGTGCTTAAGGTTGCTATGAGTCGGTACCGACTCAACGGCACCTAACAACAACAACAGCAACATTTAAGTGCGGCCACCTCCCCTGATTCCCACCATGTAGGCACCCTCTACCCTCCTAGAAGGATGCTCTCCATGTGCAGGGCTGGCCTTCCTCCCTTCCTGTGGGCACTCAACTGGAGGGTAGGAGAGAGAAAAGCCAGCTGTCACCTGGGATTTCCACACTGCAGATGGTCATTGATCAGGATCTTCTCTTACCCACAGCGTCTGTACAGGTTGGGGGATGCTGAGTCTCTGCACAGGTACACGGTGATCCCTGACCACCCCGACTTCACCCGAGCCCGCCTCAACGCGCTTCACCTGAGTGATGTAAGTAGGTGGTACGCAGCTGCTTGTGCAGTTATTTGACCCCACGCTGGGCTTTTTCCTACTGTTGGTTTCTTTATCGTTGTAAAAATATAGCTAATACATTTGCCAATTCAGCGTTAGTCACGTGTGCAATTCAATGGAACCAAGGACTTCCATCATGCTGTCTAACTAGTACCAATACCATATTTCAGACAGATTTTGTTTTTCTTTCAAGTGCTAGCAAGGAGGACTTGGGACAGAAAGACTACTTGACTGAGGGTGGGACAAACTGCCTGTGTGCTTTGATTTACTTTCCTCTCTGGCCCTCAGTTTCCTCAACTGTAAAATGGAGGCAGAGCAGTAAATGATGTTACTGATCCCCTGCAGCTCTGAGATTCGGATTCTGGGCAGTGCTCCAAGAGCTCTGTTATGTGTTAGGTTATGGTCAGGGAGTGGCCCCTGGCCCTGGCAGGGGTAGGCCCGTCTCCTTCGCCATTCAAAGCAGTGTGGCTTTGGAGACAGAGCAACAGTATCTCGGGTCGCAGTTTGGAAAGATGTCTCAATTGATGCCCATTTGGTCCAAATGTAGTTTGTGCCTTTGTGCGTGGAGCTGTGGCCTCCAACACTTTTGTTTCCCTTAGATGTGTGCCCTTTGCGTGCATAACCGAGAAGCCATTTCCTAAACCCAGGCTTGTTGTTAGCAGGGGTTGGATGCCCCTGGTTGTAATAGAATAGGCGCTGTTTGGCTAGCAAAGCTGTGATCCTCGGATAACAGGTAGCAAGGCGGAGGAATCAAAAGCCGCTCTCAGATCGGAATAACACAGACCGAAAGTGTCCGCCTGGGGCTGCGCGGGGCCTCCCAGAGTCCGGCCATTCTTCCCTCCCTGGCCTTGCTGTTGTGTCCTGGGGCTCCGTGCAGATCGACAGCTGCTCTGTTCACCCCAGAGGTGGCTGCCTCGCAGGGGTTGGCGATAGGCACCTTCTAGTTAGCGTGTGTATTAGTTTGTTGCGTTTGTAAAGCCCTGTGGGATCCCACGTAGTGAATGCAGCGGTGCTTTGTAAATATGAGTTATTATGATCATTTGATGCTTTTGAAGGATGCGAGAAGGATAATTTTAGAATAGCAGCTCTGGTGGGCTGACCTCCATCTGGGGAAGTAGGGCCTCCCCCTCAGCAGAGCTTAGACAAAACATGGGTCTCATTAATGCTCCAAGGATGGCGGAAGGCGAGGCCTCCATTTGAGGAACTATTGGAAGCCCTTGGCTGAGGACACTGGGATAAATCCACCAGTCTACTGGGTGATAGAAACATCTTTCCTGTGACAAGGGAGGCCACTCTGTAGAGTCCCAGAACTGAAATGAGCTGCCAGGGGATGTGGGTATGGAGGACTCGTGAACCTCTTTTGAAAGAGCACTTCTTCGGGGGCGTGTAGAATACGCACAATTGGATCAAGTGCTCTGTGCGGAAGATGTGGAGGGAAACTGACCTCTGTGCAAAGAAAGCCATTGAGATGTGTGAGGCAGCTGAAATAACTAAAAATCAAATGACTCTAATGTGTGAGGATGAGGACAAAACTGTGCCCACTGTGATAAAGAAGAAGAATGCCCAGGGTTCCAAATCAAAGAGCCTACGGAATCTAAAGACTCCCAGAGGCAAGGCAAAAACCTCAACAGAATAAAAAAAACGCAGAGACGAAGTGAGCATAAGCAAGCAAACAGTATACAGGGCTGTGTGCCCAGGCGCAAAGGACCCAGTGTCCTTGGGAGAACCCCAGTTTTGTCTCCAGTTGACCCCAATAGACTCTGGAGCTGGGTATATTGGATGGCATTAGAGTTTGAGGTTGTGCAAAATTTGATGTCATCATCTAGCCCAGATATGGTGTGGTGGATTTATTCAGAAACCACTGTGTTCCGTCTACAGGGCATGAGGAGGGCTTTAACTTTGTTTGCTTCTCTCATACCTGTGGGCTCACCAAAACAGGAAGCTTGCATAATACTAAAGGGGCTAGTTGTGTCATTATTTGAATCTCCCTCCATTTCCAGATATCTTTTCAGTTCTGGCTGCTCAACTCACCTATTGCTGTAAACCTAATCATGCTCACCCTGTTTGTGATCCCCAGTGATGGGTGGTTCTGTGTCTCCAGGACCTCGAATGTACTAGGTATTTGGCCTATGGTCTGTGATGTTGGATCTTGGACTCCAAGTTGATGATGAAACTGAAGGTGATGAGGGATGAGGATGAGGTCCTCCATGCTTGGCCCATCTAGTTCCAGGCCCAAAGGTGGGACAGGGAGAGGCACTTTGCTTTCCCTTTCATCTACCAGTTCTTAATCCTCCGACTTCCCTGGAGGACAGAAGCCCCAGTTTTGACCTCTATCCCCTGGTGACAAAAGTAAAGTTCTTGAGGGCCCAGTGACCTGCTATAGCTCGTGGGATGAATGAGTGACCGGCACGGTCTGGGGGCTATACTCTGTTGTCTGTTGGTTGCTCTCTCTTGCTGTCTCCGTTCTCTGCAGTGGAATAATGGTCAGCTCTCCACTGAGCTTTCCAAATGACTCCTGTCAGGGAGCCAGTCCCTTATGTTTGAAAAAAAAGTGTTAGCTACATGAAGGTATGAAAGATTTTGATGCCTCTGTTGGTGATGGGTTCTATCTGACCACTAGCAGGACATGATTAGCGATGCCCAGAGGGTGTATGAGAACAACTTGAGAAGGGGAGAAATGACAGAGGAAGATAGGAAATACCTGGTCAGTTACTCAGCCAGGATTTTGACAAATTCATTCAGGTGAAGGCTCTTCCCTGAGTGCAGGCCCTAGGACACACATCTGAGGTGAAGCGTGCCTCATAGTGATGGTGTGGGGCCCCAAAGTCAGGTGGAAGAGTCCCAGGAAGTCCATGGAGCTACCAAACACATGGGTTCTAGATCCAAGGAACAGGGTTGTTGGCATGTGCAGAGAGCCACGGTTCTTGAGTGTTGCATTCTGGCAAGCCTGAAACTATGCAGGTGAACACAGATAGAACAAGTAGAAGGGTCCTTCTCATACCACTGGGGCTGCTGCTGAGCCTGGGCCTGAGCCCGAGACCACACCAGCACAATGCTCACACTGGGGGCTCAGAGAAAGACTCAGTGGCCAGTCCCATCAACTCTAGAGCTGGAGAGGTTCTCAGGATGGCCCCTGGGATCAACAAGGCAGAGAGCACGTGTTTAACAACCTCTTCTGTTGAGACCCAACCACATGGAGAGCAGTGGAGTTACTCACTGCCTGCTTGGTTGTTTCTTTGTTTTCCCAATACAGAAAGTCTACAGAGACTCATGGGAGCAGACCAGGGCTGGTGGCTATGACTTCAGACTGGAGGCCATCCCATTCCAGACGGCTCGGGCATCCAGAGAGATCGCCAGTGATGTAAGACCCACGTCTCACCCTGGGTAACCGATAGGTTTTCAGTTTTCCCAGTCCTGTTGAAAGACAAACCACTAAGATCCCATCAAGATCCTCTCGGCACACAAACACCCCTATGTTTTGAGGTGATTCTGACTCATAGCGACCCTATTGGACGGAGTAGAATTGCCCCAAAGAGTTTCCAAGACTGTAATTGTTGGAGAAGCAGACTGCCTCATTTGATGTGTTTGAACCATTGACCTTTCAGTTAGTAGGTCAATGCTTAGCCCTCTGCATCACTAAATCTCCTTCAGAATTGAACATATATGTAAAATTGTTGTTGTTGTTGTTAAGTGCTGCCGAGTCAGTTCTGACTCATAGAGACCCACTATAGGGCTTTCAAGGAGCAGCTAGTGGATTTGAACTGCCCCCCTTGTGGTTCTCAATCCAGGGCTGATCTTACAGTGCCACACCAGTAGTCCTACATGTTAAATGAAAGGGAAAAACATAGGCCTTACTAGCTACGATTTTAGTAAGAAATTTAGGATTGGGGAAAGTATTCAAAGTCACTCTTAGAAGTGGATGTCTGTGTACTTAAAAATTAATGAATATGTATTGATTTATTGATTTGCAATAAAGGGCCTTTTTTTTGGCTGAAGTGTCATATAGCAAGAGGCTGGTTAGGCTTTGGCTTTGGTTAACTGAATTCACATTCTGACTCTGTGGCTGAGGAAATGGCTGTGTGGTCTTTTGTTGTTGTTGTTGTTGTTAAGTGCCATCGAGTCGGGTCCGACCCATAGCGACCCTGTACAGAGTTTCCGAGGGTGTAAATCTTTACGGGAGTAGAAAGCCTCATCTTTCTCTAGGTGAGTTTAATAAATTACCTGAACTCAGGTTTCTATATTTATGAAATGGGGATCTAATACTTGTCCCAGGGATTTATGGAGGTATGGAAACAAAATGATATGCACATTTTGTTGTTGTTGTTAAGTGCCATTGAGTTGTTTCCAATTTGTATTGGGTTTCTGAGGAAGGTCTGGTGAGTTTGAACTGCTGACCTTGAGGTTCAAACCAACCTTGCTGTCCAGCACTTATCCTGAAGCGCCACACCAGGACTTTAAACTATTATTATCAAAGAGGAGGATGACATGGACTAGGCCAATGCCCCAGCACTAGATCTGTGCTCATCTGTGATCTGTTTGTTACCAATCCATGATGAGATAAGTATAGAAATTGATAGTCATGTTTTATCAATTTGACATCACACTATTCAAGCGTGTGAGGGGTGAATTAGTCTTGTTGAACAGAGTAAAGGTCAGTTAAATGTTGTGAAACTTGTGTGGTATGCTCGTCACATGTTTTAGGATTATACATTGGTCTTTGATGGACTGGAAATTTACAAAGTAAAACAAGATGGAACTGGTTTTCGCTGTAGATAGTTGAGGAGTACTGGGCTAGGTCCCCGAAAGCTAAGAAGAGTGCTTTCAGAGAGAAGACACGCAGTTCCCTTCCTGTTGAAGTATTTCGGTAGCATCAACACCAGTAACTAGGATTCATCTCATGAACTTTGGACAGGCTAACAGGCGAGACAAATCCCTGCTGAAGGACATCATGGTTGGTTAAGTAAAGGACTAGCAAAAAAGAGAGAGGCCCCCAACAAGGTGTACTGACTCAGTGACTGCAACAATGGGCTCCAACTCAGCAAATGACTGTGACGATGGCTCAGTGCTTCCTGGTACATGGGGTTGCTATGAGTGGGAACCAACTTGACGGCATCTAACAACAGAAACCAACCACTCAATGGATGCAAACCCATGCCAGACACTAGGTTTAGCCCGCATATTATTGAATCCTTTTAACATCCCTGTGGGGTAAAGATTGATACTCCTGTTTAGCAGATTGAGAAGTGGAGACTACGTTCCACGGACACACAGCTAGGAGGCGGTAGAACCAGTATAGTCCCTAGTTCTATTGGACTCTACAGCCTTCCCTTAACCGGCTCTCAGATGTCCTGCTGAACAGCTTGTGGATGGTGGGGAAGGGAGGGGTGTCCGTGACCAATCAGCTCTTCTGCCTTTCAGTTTCGGTACAAGAAGGCCTTCCTGAGGGACCGGGGCTTGCAGATTGGGTACCGCAGCGTCAGCGACGACCCAAGGATGAGGCATTTCCTCACTGTCAGCAAACTCCAGAGTGACAACGAATACAAGAAGGACTTTGCCAAGACCCGGTCCAAGTTCCACAGCTGTGCAGACCAGCCTGGCCTCCTCCAAGCCAAGAGGAGCCAGCAGCTGGCCAGCGATGTGCATTACAGGCAGTCCCTACCCCAGCCAACCTGCGACCTGGAGGAGCTGGGCCTGAAGCATGTGCGGAAGGTTCACCAACTGCAGAGTGACGTGAGTGCCTTCATGCATCCGGACGAGCCTTTCCCCTGGGGCCTCTTCATGACAGGCATCAGCGACCCCAGGCTGTAGATCCCTCCTGAGACAGAATCCAAGATACCCAACACGTTAGTGCCAGCAGTAGTAACAGCAGTGAGTCCATTTGTCAAAGGTGTCCTGGTGGAACAGTGGTTAAGTGCTCAGCTGCTAACGGAAAGTTGGCGGTTTGGAGCCAACAACCACTCCACAGGAGAGAAAACCTTCAGTTCTGCTCCTGTAAAGATTTCAACCTAAGAAACCCCATGGGGCAGTTCTGTGCCAGCATATAAAGTCACGCTGTTGTTGTTAACTGCCATGGCATCGACCCTGGATGGGGTTTCTGAGGAGCGGATGGCAGGTTTGGACCTTATGGCTCCCAGTCCAGTGCTTATCCGACAGCACCACACTACCACTCCATAAGGTTGCTAGGAGTTGGAATTGGCTTGACAGCACACAACAACCATTTGTCAAGTCTGGATGGTAGGGCATGCTCTGCGTCAAATGCTTTATAAGTGTTGTGTTGGGTTTGTTATTGTTGTTGTTGTTAAGTGCCGTCGAGTTGGTTCTGACCCATAGCAACCCTTTACAGGGTTTCTGAGATTGTGTTGGGTAATCCTCACAAAAAACCCCATTACTGTCCCATTTCACAGATGAGGAGACAAGCTCAAGACTACACAGCCAACAAGTGGCAGTTCTGGGACGTGAACCCAGTTTACTTGATGCAAGGGCCCAAACTGTTGACCCTAAGACTCTGCTGGGACCTTAGTAGTTACCTATCACAGACTTTGCACTTTTCCTGGGTGGAAATAGAGTCCCAGAGAAGGGAAGTGACTTCCCCAAGGGGCCACAGGCGAGTCAATGTAGCAGCTTGTAACTCCATGGACAGTTCCCTTCCCACCTGCTTCCACCCTACAGTCCTCCCCCATTGCACCTCACATTGTTTGAATGGCAAGATGCAAGAGACCACAGCAAGCTGGCCTGGCTCACAGCACATTGAATTCTTCCTGCCAGGGACCTCCTGCATAAGACAAATTTGTTCCCGTTGTCCTGCCTTTACTGATACCAATATATTCTTCCTCTCAGGCTGCCTTTTCTTATCCTAGATCCCTCCGCGGACAAATCACCGCAAACCCTGTTGACCAGTTCCCTTTGACTCTTTCCTTTCCCCAAGGTCAAATACAAATCAGACTTGAACCTGACCAGAGGCGTTGGCTGGACCCCACCCGGCTCCTACAAAGTGGAGATGGCTCGGCGGGCTGCAGAACTGGCCAACGCCAGGGGTCTGACTCTCCGGGGCGCTTCTGTGAGTAACAGGCTGCAAACCCAACCCCTTCAGCAAGGCGCTGGGGAGAGGCAAACCCATTGTTTCTTTTCAAAGTTTATTTTTGGCCAAAGGTCATCGGCTCTAAAGAAGTGTGAAATGCAGCTTGAGCAAGGTGCCTGATTTCACCGGTCTGAGATGACCAAGCAGATGACAGGCGGGTGAAACTTCCCGCAGGGTTTTCTCTGAAGCCATAGCCATTAGTTCTGCAGAGGCAAACCCACCGAGGCTACATCAATCTGGGGTCAGGGCTGCGGTCGGGCTGTGAGGACTATTTGCTCCTTACATGCTTGGAAGGGGTCAGGGACTCGCTGGCTACAACAGGCAGGGTCCTCACCCCAACATTGTTCAGAGAAAAGATGCTGCGTTGAAATGAGAGACTGGCTTTGCTGCCTTTTCACACTTGCCTTGAGGATATTTTTTTTTCTTGGGGAAGGAAGATGGAAGGGGGGAGGGATGAGGAGGGTGAACATTTTCAAGGCTCGTGGAGACTCTGGGTTGACTAAACGGTTAAGCCCCCATACAACCAGTTGAAGGTTCGGTGGTTCGAACCCTTGGGAGACAAGCCTGGGCATCTCTTCTGAGAGGTCCCAGATGAAAACTCTCTAGAGCAGGCTTATTCTACACACACGGGGTTGCGATGCAGTTGGAATAGATTTGACAACAGCTCGGAACAAGAAAGAGGCACCTTAGTTTGCTCTAGGGGAGCAAGGAGAGAACTTGGATTTAGACTCAGATTGTGTTTGCTTTCTGCAGGCTAGGGCAGAGGCTGTGGACGTCAGTGGCCAGTGGGAAGATGTGAACCCTGATACCACTGAGATTCTGCACGTCAAAAGGAAGAGGGCTGTACACTGAGGGCACACACCCAAGAGTCTGGGCAGAGACACCGGAGAATGCTTGCTCCACCAGAGCTAAGCTTGGGAGACTGAACAACAACACACCTGACTCTACCACACCCCCTCTGTTAAAACACCCACAGTGTGAAAGCGGATGGAGACTGTTGTGTTTGGGGTCCTCATCTAGCTCCTAGCAGTGACTGTCTGTTTCTGTTGAGTAGCTTGTGTGTCTGGGATAAAGGAATAAAGATGTACAGACAATTCCCACTGAGGCTGAGCATTCTGTATTTCCACATCTGCACATGTTCGAGGTGCAGCCAATCCCCGTGAGCACTGATTTTTTCAGAAGAACAGTTGCTGGAAGCAAACACAATACATTTCAGGCTGATTCCATCATTCCTTGGGTTCCCCAGGGGGAAAGTGGGAGCATATGAAACAGTAGAAATGTTGGTTCATGAAGCCTCTGCTTAGACCTATGAACACTCTGGGAAACCCCAAGGATCCATCGTTGCTCGTACACTCTTGCCTTGTCTGGGTGCTGAGGAGGGAGGGTTCTGAAGTCTGCAAGATGCCTCCTTAGAAGCCAGACTCTCTTTGGATGGTGGTTTGGATCCAACTTAGAAACTTGGTCACTTGGGTGTAGACCCCTGGCTTCTTCCCACATTCCAAGCCCCAGCTCACTATCCCATAGATGTAGTAGGTGCCATCCTTCTCACAGGTCAGAGGGCCTCCCGAGTCTCCCTAAGGAGAAGAGGAAAGCATGAGGCAGAATATATTCCAGGAGGCTCCCAACACCTACAGGGGATGCCAGATATGATGGGCTGGAAAGCAAGAGAGAGAAGGCTCTTTGTTTGCCTCACGTGACCCAGGGCTCTCAGGAGAGAGACACAGATACCATCGTACATACCGGAGTGTGTGAGGGTTTGGCAAAACTGCCATAGGACCATTGCATAGTGGCATGAGCATGGATAGTCCTCTCAACCCTACCTCCTGACTCTAGATTGAGAGATAGATAGATAGATAGATAGATAGATAGATAGATAGATAGATAGATATTACAGACAGATAGATAATAGATATGTAGCTAGAACAATAAGTGATAGATTGATAGATTACAGACAGATAGATAGATAGCAGACAGATAGATATAGATAAATAATAGATAGATGCTAGATAACAGACAGACAGATAGATGGCAGTTATATGAGAGGTCAATAGAGAGAGAGATGACAGACAAATGGATGACAGATATAGATAGATGTTAGGTGGATGGCAGACAAACAGATAGATGTAGCTAGATAACAGATGGATATAGATAGGTAGATGATAGATGATGATAGACAACAGACAGACAGACAGATAAATGGCAAATAGACAGATGATTGCTCTGACTCAGGGTGACCTTATTTACAACAGGATGAAATGTCTTGTTCTATGCCCCCTCATGATCACTGGCACATTGAAATCCAATGTTCCTGAGATTACTATTGTCAATACTCAGGGGCCCTTGACTTCCTCATTCTGGCGGCAGACCTGTTGTCTGGCTGGCGCTCTTCCCCGGCCAGCACACACAGGGTGAGCAGGATGGGGGCTCAGAGGCAGCCTGGTCTAGACATGGAAGCATGGTCTATGGGGTTAGAGCTTCTGGAGGTCCCCACCTGTTAGTCATGTACCTTGGGCCTCAGTGTCACACACTGTAAACTATGGATGACAATCAACCTTCCACCTGCCAAAGGGTCCTTATGAGGATTAGTGTCTGAACACAGAACACTGCCTGACTCTTAGTGACCCTGAATTCGTGTGACGAGGGAGATGGTGGTGAGGATGAGGATGGGAAGTATGGCGTACCTACTAGAGCTGAGAGGTGATTTTAATGAATTCTCTTTTTGAATCTTAGCCACAATCTGGTGATCTTGTGGACATGTCATATAAATTTTACAGATTGGGTCTCTGAAGCTGGAGAACTGCTTCAGTGATTAAAGAAACAGAACCAGGTTTCAAACCTATGATGATCTGTTTCCAAAGCCTGCAACGGAGACCCGTGAATTGTCTAGGAAATTGAATGATCTCTTGACTTACTCATCTTCAAGGGCTTTGGGACATGTTGCACACATCTCTCTACATCCATTTTTTTTGAGGATGTGGATATCTGTAACTTCCTGGGAAGAGATGGAGGATCCCAGTAGAGCCACAGACTCTGGGCAGAGTGACTGTGATTTCCATCCCAGAAAATCATTGTTGGGTCCCTTTGCAGGAAGGGGCCATCAATGAACTAGAATTTCAACATGCCCTACCAGGTTTTCCAACATAGTTGTGTGGTTTATGAGGACTAAAACCGAATTCTAAAGTGAGGCATTTTTTTGGAATCTGAGAAAGATGTTTTCTATGTAATGTTACCCCTTCTGAGAGTGGGATTATGAGGAGTGGACTTCGATTTGGGGCAAAGCATCTGAGGTCACGTTAGCACCAGCTGATGGGGCACCTCCAACTCCCTGCCCAGCAGACTCCCTGAGTCACTACTGGCCTCAGTAGCTTAGGGTTCGGTTCCCAAAAGGTCAGGACTACGGTTGGTGTCGGGCTATTCGTTGGCTAAGGCTACAGACAACTCAGAGGGGATGTGGGTACGTAGTTTGCTAGGGCTAAGTCAATCGCTCCCCTGCGACCCTACACATATACATACACACACACACCCTGCCATCCAAATGATTCATTAATATTCTTATGATTCTGCGAGGCCGCTAATCTTTTTTTTTTTTTTTTTTTTTTTTTAGGCCTGTAATCTTTTCAAACTTCGTCTCTCATACTTCGGACATATTGTCAGGAGGGACCAGTCTCTGGAGAAGGATAGCATGTTTGGCAAGGTGGAGGGTCAGAGAAAAAGAGGAAGACCTTCAGAGAGATGCAGCATCAATGGGCTCAAGCGTGGCAACAATTGTGAGGTTGGTCCAGGACGGGGCAGTGTTTCGTTCTGTTATACATAGGGTCGCTATGAGTCGTTACCGACTCGATGGCACCTAACAACAACAACAACAATCTTTTCTAGCCACGGTTCTTTTGGACAGGTCTCTACTTATTGAAAAATTTCAGACCTGCCACCAAGCGCTGAAGCGAGAAAGATAGTCTTCACATTTAAACGTGGTCAAGTAAAGTGGCCAAGACTTTAGTGCCCAACAGACCTGGTTCAGATTCCAGTCCTGCCATATACCACCCAAGGTAGCATCTCTAAGCATCTGTAAAATGGCATTAAGGATATCCACTTCACTGCTGTGCTGGGAGAACGAAATTATACAAGGCAGGCAAAGTAGCTGCTGCTGCTCTTGTCGATTCCGACTCACTCGGGAACTGATATGTGTCACCTGGGCCTTAACTTGATGGCAGATGGGTATCTGACCCTAATGCCCTCCCTTGCTCTCAGGGCCTCTTCTGACCTGGCAGGTATCCTGTCCAGGTTTCTGAAGGTTGCCTGCACAGATCATGCCATCAGTGATCATGTGATCATAGAGCTGCCGGGAGTTGCACAAAGTGTTGGCTATCAGCTTGACTTTGGCGTCCAGGAGCTGGCGGGACCCTTCCCCTGTGGGCAGAGAAAAGAGGGTGTCAGTGTGGGAGTCAGTGTGGGGCAGAGTAAAGGAGTAGAGGGCACCTTGTCCCAGCAAGAGTGGGCAGTGGGCTGGGTGACACCCACACTCTGAGTGTGATGCCCCATGAGAAAACATCTAGATGAGACCAAAAGGACAATTCCTCTAAAGCAAAGGAAAGACAATAAGGAGTCAGGGAAACAATTTAAGAGAACGTTGACACGTTGTGAAAAATGTAACTAAAGATACTGAATAATTTGTGTATAAACAGTCAAATGGGAACCTACTTTGCTTTATAACCATTCACTGAAAATACAATCAAATATACAGAAAAGAAAACTATCCAATGAAAAGAACATCTATGTAGTGCAAAATGATTACTACATAGAAGAGTATTTTCCAAACAGGCTATGATATAAACAGGTATTACTCAGAAAAAATACATCCGTTGCTCAAATAAAATAAGAAAGGGAGAGAGTCAGCAGTGAGAAGGAAGATTTTTCCAGGAGATGGGCAGGAAATCTCATCTCCCAAGGCTGGGACCAACATGTAAGCAGGCAGTATGGGGCTCTTCTTAAGTCTTTGCCAGTCTTATCACACTTACCATAATGGAGCAGAATCATTTGTGCCTCCCTAATGAGGAGGTATAAAGTTGGTATAACTTTATTCCAACGGTCGCACTAATGGAGGGGGCGCTGGCTGAACCATGTGCGAGAACTGCGCAAACCTGGTGGAGGTGTTAAACGAAACCCAGACCACGGATCTGCAGGGTGAGAGGTGTCTGGAGACCAGGTCGACGGGGGTTGGGGTTGGGGGGTGGACGCTGCCTAGTGGGAAGAGACTGCAGCGGCCAGCCAGGCTGTCCTACTTACCCTGGACGCCAGGGCGCAGTCCTGGCCTAGCCGTTGGATCGTTGGATCAAGGCTTTGAGGTGGACTCAACCAACTTAGAGACCCACAAGCGCAGCCCAAAGCCTCTCATTACAACCCTGTCACCCCTGCTGCGCTTCTGCCTCTTGACTGACGCGACACATCCGAGGACGGAAATCCCACCTTTGAGCCAGATTTAAGGGCCTTAGTGCAAGGAGATTCGTGTTTAACAGCGACCACACAACCGCCACTCGTCTGTCTGTCGTGCTGTGGTGGTTTGAATTGCTGTGATTCTGAGGGCTATGCCACCGGTATTTTAAATAACCAGCAGGGTCACCCATGGTGGACAG